TTGCTGATGTAGTTACTGCTTTTTAATAGATCATTGACCCGTCAATCAGACTCTGACCATTTCAGAGATAAAAAGCTAGGCTTTCGTTGGCTATTATGAATAGAGCACCTTTCCACAAATTAAGAAATGGTGTAATAATTAACAGGTATAATGGATATGCACATTCAGGTTTCAGTTATATCTTTATGAGCTTTAGTTCCTGTTATCTTTGGTGTAGTTAACCCCTGTCTACCCACAGATAAATTTAGCTACAGTATAAAAATGGATTTTTTTGTGGCAGTGACATTTTGCTAATATGATTGACAATTTTTTGCTCATTTTTTAAGATCTGTAATAAAAGCTGTTCTTTCAGACTTTCTTCAAAACAAGGCAAAGAACTTCACTAACAAAACTGATTAAGTAATAATACTGTTCTAAAGAAACAAAGCAAAGATTCATAAAACAGTTTTGCATACAGAGAATTTACCCAAACTTTAATTTTTTTCTGATTTACAGACTTAAATGATTATAAGTAATGGTGATTCCTGCTACTGGAGTTTGGTATCTTTGAACTAAAGAGTCGCTTGGAAATTGCCAAAGCAGGTCATTTGATAGTGGACTCATTAGGTGAACCGGGAAGTAGGCAGAGGTCACTTACCATTTCTAAGCTTTAAATAGCTTAAGAGAAATCAAAATTTTAGGTTTTGAAAATACATGATATTTTATTTGCAAAAATTCATTAAACAACATCAAGATTCAATTGCTCTGATGTAATATGTTTGCATTGCAAAATATGAATCAGGAAAGAAAATCCTAAGTTTAGAGAAGTTGTGGAACTGGAAAGTTAAGGAAAACTTTCTGAATTTATGTATAACTTTTATTAATCTTTAAACATGACAAAAACCAAGAGAAGTAATAGTTAAAGTGGGCTGATAAAACACTGTATAACTGTTTACTAAGGTATAGAAGTATTTTTATTTTGAAAAGTGTTTTCCTATTAAAGTATTGCTGGCATCTTAATTAGTGCTATTAATGCAATTGCATATGTTTTATATGCAATACTATTTCAGGTGTGTTCTTATATACCAGATATTTATTCAGAATACATTTGTGTAGAGACTCACATTTATTGTAAAGTCATCTTTGTACTAGAAGCTGGCATAGCTGTCATTCTGTTGTAAATTCAATTTAATCTATTTTGGGGAAATTTATTTGTTTCATGACATCATTTGTCCTACATGTATAAAGTAGTAGATCTTGGCAGTGTTCAGTTTATTTTGTGATCAGTAGTTCACAGACTTTTGTCATTGGGGGGTTTAGTACTGTAGTGAATAAGTCACCATTTATTATTCATACATTTTTGTCATGTCAATGCTACCTAGGTATAAGGTGTGCTTATAAAAGCAAATATTCAGGTACTTTTTTTAAAAAGTATTTTCAAAGTACTCCTTAATATTAGTCACAGATCTTAATGTGTATTTATAAATGCAGCTGTAAAAAAAATGAGTTTTTCTGGAAGAGAATGAAGAGATTTTTTCAATTGTATTTGGCAGTGTCATGCCTGCTATAACTTGAGTCCAAAATCCTGCAGTTGCAAGAGGAATTAGCTTTTTTAGAGTACATGGTGAGACTATGCCAAGATCTTCCAGGTCCACAAAATAAAATCCTCAAGGAGGGAAAAAAAAAGTGGAAGGGGCACAGTAGTTGTCTTTTTATTATTTATAATATTTCAATACATGTCCAAGTGGGTAGTTTACCTCATAAAGATGAGGGCTAGTGGGATTCATTTCTGATGCAAGAGTGGCTTATCTTGAGACTTGGGAATGCAACCTTCCCTGTTCCTAACCTCATCTTCATAATCTTTCCAGTTATTTGTTCCTTTATTTTTAACAGTCTGTTCTTTCATTAATCTTATGTTGTGATGTACCCTTACTTCCTTAACTGGAGATAATAGATACTTTTTTTTGCTATATTCTAATCCTCACACACACACTACTTAATATTGTAGTGCAAGCAAAACTACTTAAACCACAAAATGAATTGATCCATTACAAATGAAAATCATGAAATGTAATTTTACTGTTATATATATCTTTCCATTTCTTCTTTTTTCCCCTTATTTAAATCTAAAACTAAACCTCTTCTTTTGCCACAAAGATCTTGTCTTAATGCAAAAATTCATCCAGTTGAATCTCAAGGATAAAAATAGTAAATAGATTTTATAAAGACCGTAAGTATGCAAAGATAACAGCTTCGTCTAATTCAGACTCTGCATAAAGAGTTTGTGTGTGTGTGTATATATATATACACACATTGAGAAGAAAGTTTGAGGTTATTGGGATGCACTTAGATTTACATGCGTTGTTTTCATAGATGAGTAAAGCTTTCCATTAAAAATAGTATAGTAGTGGTTAGGAATTAAAAGCAAAGTTAGTTTCCATGGTTTTAATATGGGGTTTTTGTTTGTAATTCTGTCTACTTCCCATGCTTGAATATGATTCTTCAGTGATTTTTTTTCATTCAAGTGTTAACTGATTAGTTCATTGTTCAACCCTGATTAAAGGAAGAATACATTTGAAATATGACATGGGATATCTCCAGATGTAGAGTGAAATACAGCTGCATTTCTAGGATCTTAAACTTTTATACTGAACTTCAAGTATTGAAAAGGTACATTTAGCCTATGAAATATATAGTTACCTAAAAGCTTTCCTTTGTTACTGTTTTCTGGTTTTAAGCTATAAAGTGCAAAACTTTGCTCTAATACAGTATGAAGTCCTGCATTAGATTGACATGAAGTAATCTAGAACACTTGACAGCTTTTTAATTTTAATTTTGAGTACTTTATGGCATCTTAAACACCAACTTTTCTATGAATACGAAATCTCTGAAAGGTCTTGCAATTCCAGGTTTTAAGCTGGCCTCTAAACATACTGTTCTAATCTCACTATTTAGCAACCAAATTGCCCTTATAGTGTCCTCAGAACTCATCAAAAACGGATGTATTCAAGGGGCTCATTTACAGTGTAGTTGAATCTCATTTTTTTCCTTATAGGAAAACTTAGAACACTGTTTTATAAGCTTACTCTGAAGGTATAGAAAGCAGGTAAGCAAGTTATCTTGTCACAAACATTTATTGGTTTACTTAAGTTTTCTTTTTCCCTGAAACTTGATGCAGAAATGCTTGGGAATTTTGGTGACAAGACAGTAAGAATGGAGTAAGATGGTATCTTATATTTGTGATGGGTTGGTATTCAGCCCTTGTAGAAGAAGGTAAAGTTTGAAGTGAAAGAGCTGCTCACTCTACCAAAGCCCAGTTTCGAAATGAATGATTATTTCATTAATCTCTGCATGGTGTGCAGGTTCTTTAGAAATGGCATGGACTTGCATCAGAATCCTGCTGTTCAACCTCTTTTGTGCTATAGCATATATGTGGAAGAAATCTTTTGTAATTCATTTGAACCTTTTATTCGCTTGAACCTCCTTATATATTGGGTAGTCTTTTATCTACAAAACTTAACATCACTTCTTTAGGGATTCAACTTCACTGTCACTTTGCTTTGTCTTTCCTTTTTTACCTAATCCATTATTTTAAGGTTGAACTGTAAATTCTTTTTGGTTATTTGTAAATTACTGTTCTTATAACTTAAGACTTTCATGAGTGTGGGAATTGTCCTTTGAAAGTTGCATTCTTATGAGCCTAAATTTAAATGTACAACTGTAGAAGTCTGGGTACTCCAATCTTAAGTATTATTTGCTTTGCAATGAACATAAAACTGAGTGATACCAGTTACTATGTTTTGTAGCTTCTTTGTATTATGATATATCTAATTTTAGTGGCTGTTTTTCCAGTTATACCTGTAATATACTAGAGATTAGTGTTCCAGGATGTTTATAGTTTTTCCATGTTACTATGAACTTTATGAATGTGCAGATTTATCGACCCCTAGTGGGTTGTTAGGAAAATGGCTGTTAATTTAATAAGTGCTAAATGAAAAATTTAAACCTTTTTCAATGCTGTATCTGTTTCAATGCTCTTTTTCTTCTGTTTGCAGCTGGTTTAGCGCCTGAACTTAATTTCTGGTGTTCCGTTTCCAGCCTCTGCAGAATTGCTTATTGCAGCAACTTCTCTTAACAACACTTCCAAAACATGAAGTTAGGTGTCTGTATTTTAATGAACACTTGTGGCCGTAGCTGAGAACTTTAAAATTATAGTACAGCAGAAATTTAAAACTAAATGGTCTTTTTTGTGCTGTGTAAGGTGGGCTTATTTTTAACTAGCTTCAAAATTTGATTAGCTACCCTTCTTGGGTAGTATGATACTATATAAATGAATTAAAGCAAATTGGAAATCATCTGCTCAAGTTTCACTGACCTCTTAATGCTTATTAAATAATTATAATTTATCAGTAATATTCTGAAACTTTCCATTTCATAAAATAATCAATTAAAACAGTATTTTCATGCTAAAGCAGCATGTAAAATACTGCATTTCTAGCAAACTTTTAAAGTAATTTTAAATAGCTCTAGTATTTTTAATCATTTAGCTGAAATTTAAATTTTCTGGGAGATGAAATTAACTTAATCATGCTGTGAAAGTTTTACAGGCATTTATTTCACATGAATTAAAATGAAGTACTGAATATTGAATTCATATTTGTCTTAAGCAATAATAAATTAAGATAAGCCTGCTCAATAATTAAACTTAAATTCAACTTAACTATAATCGTACCTCTATGTGTTTCCAAGTATCAAAATCAGAAATTAAGCCCTACTGTAAATTTATTTTACTATGCAAGTTTGACACAATAACTTCCATTTTTTATTTTGTACACTTAATTTTATAGGCTTTAGGTAGTAAAGTAGTGTTTATACCAGTTAAAATATGAAATACTCCTTTGACTTTTGGGTATTTAAATTGCTAAGAAAAGGCCAAATGCAATTGTTTGCATTTACTAATATTTAGTGTGCTTATTACAGAAAGCACATTGTTTAAAGTGAAACTTACGCAGCAATCAAAAATGTCAAAAAGACCTCAAATTCATATTTTTGTGGGAGCACCCAGTATTCCAAGCTTGCTGGAAGTGTCAGAGCAAAGTAGTTCAGCACCAGCTGCTGAAAAGTGGAGAGAACTCCGCTGTTTTTGTGATACACATAGTCTTTTTTCTGAAAAAGTCAAAAGTGCTGACCAATTAGTGTCTCGGGCAGAAAGCTCTATAGTCACAGCAGTTCCTACAAATGATGACAGCTCTGAACAGGGAAGATTAATGGTAGCAAAAGAATATTTGACATCTCATGTGCCTGTAGCAGTAACTTGTACCATCACACCTAAAAAGACTGAAAGTTTGATTTATTCTGATTGTCAAATATCTACAGATAGATGCACTCATGCAAATGTAAATCAGGCTGCAGATCAACACCTTCCGCAAAAATTTGCAGAATCGGCTAGAAAAGATACACAATCACATGGCTGTTGTTCAAACCTCACTGAAAGAAAAGCTAGTCATTTAGAAGTTAACAGCTCTGACATTTCTGATTTGGTTGCCAGTACTAAGCAGATTACCATACAGCTAAGGTCTGTGGGACAAGATGTTCAATCAGATTGTAGAAGTGATCACCATGAACATTTAAGTCGATATCTGGATATGTGTTTCCCCCAAAATCAAGAGTCAAAACCAAAAGGAGAACCAAGTGATTGTTCAGACTTTGCAGTGTCAACAGATACTGAATTTCGTAGTATAATGACTTCAGGTCAGATGGCTATTTTTGCATGGGATCAGAATGAGATGCAGGAAAGAATCATAAAACTATCAGAAACAGAAGCAGGCAAAACACCTGAAGAAAGGCAATGTGATCATTTCCAATTTTATTCTGCTGTTGGATCATGTCTTAATGTGGCTGGAAATGAATATGAGGAAGAGTATACAAGTTCCCTTGAACTTTTCAACTCTGAGGGCGATGGGAAAAATGTTTGCATTGAAGCCACAAAACAAGAAGGAAGTGCTCAGGAAAAGACAGAAAAGTCTCAAGAACTTAAAGTTCCTGATGAGCAATTTTTAGATGAAATCCATATCGAACCATTAAGCTCAGGAATATTGTGCTCTCAAGTAGAGAGTTGTCATAAGAGCTCTTCTGAAAGAGCCCACAACTGTGAAGATTCCTTTCATATTTTTCCCTCAGCATTTAACAGACAGCTGAAATCAAAGAGGACTAAACTGAATTCTTCTCCAGCTGGTCTTGGGATGAGAGTAGATGATGAGAGGATGACAGAGTTCAAGAAACTTCAAAAGAAACTATCACCACTTAAGAACTGCTGCTGCAAAAATCAAAAGTACAATGTTTTGGTCACAGTAGTACATCCTTGTCATGTCAAAGAAATACAGGTGAAGACTAGACTAAAATCTTCATGTAAAGTTCCTGTAGCAACAATTGCAGTTATTGACCAGTCAGAAATTGAGAGAAAGGTGGTGCTGTGGCGTGGTGCTGCATTTTGGTCACTCACTGTGTTTCCTGGGGATATTGTACTGCTTACAGGTGAGAATTCCTTTATGTGCCTTTTTAAAATGTGGATCTTTAAAATGGCTGTGTGAAGTAGAACAATATGTAACCAATAATTTGGAACTATGGTTAAGCATTTGTAAGTTTCTTGTATCACTTACATCACTCAACATCACTTTGAATTCTCAATCATCCTGCCAGTGGAACATCGCCTGTCCTGTAGAAGTTTCTTATGTAGTCTTTGGTCTGAGACACAGCAGTGCATCAACACTACAGCAGTGTCATAGGTAGTCAGGTGTATTCCATAACCTGTCAGTGTTGTTTTAAAACAGTTGTTCCTGAAAGGTACAGATGTGTTATTTCATTTATAGACTTTTTTGTAACTCTCTGCGGTCAGACCAGCAGATGGACCAGAAAATTGTGATGTTATGTTCAGTTTCAGGATGAGAGATACTTTTCCTCCTGTGAAGACTTTGTAGCTTAGCACTAGCATCTTGAGATGGATCATGTTGTGAGTTAGTAACTGGCATACACTGCAGAAATATAAAATGCTCTTTGCAGTTCACCTCTTTCATAACATGTCAGATGATAATGAAGATGCCTCCTGATAAATCCTTTGTACTCCTTAATACCTAAGAGGAGCAAACCCCTCTCTAAGAACATATCTTATGTGAGAGAATGCAGTACTATAAATTAGTTGCAATATTGGTTATAGGGCTGGAGTTGACCAGAACTTTATAGTGATCTAGCCATTTAGATTTTGCAATATGCAAAAAATTACACAATATAAAATTGTTTGACTACTATTACAGTGTAAGATGCCTATTTCTTTGTTAAGAGTTCTTTAAGTACTTATGGGGGGGTGCAAAGGGATATTTTAGAGATTGAAGGTGAGCTGGGTTTTTTCTTTTCTGCTTAGACATTCTTATCTCAAAATATGTCAAAAGTGTTTCTGGGTAAGCCTAGTACTTTATTACTCATTCTGAAATGTTGCACAGTAATTTACCCAATAGTCACCCACTTCACTTACACAGTACCTGCTCTAAGACTATTGAATATTTTATATGAATTGAAGAATTACATAAAACTACTGAGAAAATTTGATTAATGTAAATGGTGTTGGTAGAGTAAAAAAAAATCACTTTGTTTCCAAGTGATCTTTCAAACTGTTTCACATCTGTATGTGTGATGGTTTTCTAGTCAAGAAAAGTATGATACACTTCAATATTGTCGATACATGAGTTGATTAAGATTGCTCTAATCTTGCAGATATAATAGTGTACGAGAATCTCTGGTGTGGAGAAATCATGCTGCAGTCTACATTTACCAGTCAGTTATTGAATCTGGGGAACTGCTCGGCTCTCAATCCAGAAGAATGTAAGATTATAGTGCATAAGTTTCCACAAAAATCACAGTGAAGTAACTATTTTAAAGTACTCAATTTTGTTGGCAATACCTCATACACAGGGTAGATTGGAAATGTGAACAACTGAGGTAGAAAACACTCTAGGAAAGTATGACAGGAACACCTGTGGGCATGGTGACATCAGATTAGTAATCACCCAGCTCTACTATAAAACTGCATGTACCTTTCAAAACTCTGAAAAACTTAATTCTTAACTGCTTTTTCTTAAACTAAGCTTGATCCCAGGAATCAACCATAAGATGTCTGAGACTTCATGACAATTAAATTTTTTGCAAAAATTTTAGAGGTTTGTAGAGTAAGTAGATCCATTCAGGGAAGGTAATTCATTGCAGGCTATTAAGCACAAAGTCTTTAAAGATACTTGAGCTCTGCAGGGCTGGAGACTAAGGGGAAAATACAATGGAAGTATCACCAAGAACTTGCATTGTTCTTCCTGTCCTCTTGATGTCCACTATTGCCAGCTATTTATGGCAGGTTGTGGGGTAAGTGATTGAGAATGGCTACTCTTACCAAGCTGTGATACAAGATTTCTTTCCTGTTCTTGGTGTAATTAGCTTAACTTTAGGATGTTAAGAAAAGGAGGCAGATGAAGTACGGTTTAATAGTGGATCAAGTGTTACACATCTCAAGAATTTCTTGCCTTAGAATTATTGTGAAATGGCTTTGGTTTTATTAGTTGGTACATATTTACACTGACAAATTTTGTACTTCCAAGCTTAAAAAAAAAGGGTGTCCCTTTAACTTTGTTTTTTCATATAAGTTTATCCTATAGTGGATGGTGGTGTTCTCCATGGCTTATTGGCATACATATCATCAGAATTTCCCTACTTTGGAAACATTCCACGAAGAAAAGTTCAGAGACTGGACAGTGTTCAATACATGCAGCTTGACCAGCTCCAGCCAAATACATTGGTTCACGCCATCTTGAAAATTATCAACATTGTTGTATTAACAGGTAAATTCATGCACTGGACTTCAACTTCCAACACTTAACAACAGGTAAAACTTAAATAGTAATTTTGCAAGGCAATTCTGGTTGTTTCCCATCCTATCGCCACTGTTTGGCATAGGAGTCGCAAGTAAAACCTTTGTAATGGTCCACTCATGGGAGACATAGTAGTTAGTACCTTCTTGTCTCTAACTCCGTTTCTCTAACAACTGTAGTCAGCTGCTGAAAGGAGGTTACTGCACACTGGTGCTGATCAACAGCATACATGTCTGTGGGAGAAGCATGTAGGCAGTGGGCACTGATCAGCGTTCCTACCCACTGAGGGATTGGTGTGTTCACTAAGGGATGAGCACTCACCGCATACTGCTGTTACTAATGTACTGACTTGTCAGTGAGATGGCTTGAGCATCTCCACAGCTCCAAATAGTGTGGTACCTGATCTTCAGTAAGATGGAGGATTGGAGAGAGATGCAGATACGAAGTATAGTGTTGGGAGGTGGAATGAAGCAGGAATTATCTTGAGGAGTGTGGGCTTGAAATCTTTTCAAGGGAAGGTAGGTGCATGTAGCAGGAGTGCTGAAAAGAGGATGATACTGCAGTTATGGTGGAGGAACGTAAATGTGTTTTTTATGGCTCTTGAAATTGGAGAGATACATTCTTGCTGTAGACCCCTGCTTGAGAAAGGGGGCCGGCTTACGAAAATGTCATGTGGGACAGTCAAGCTTTACTAATTCAAAGCTCAGCTGCCAACTGCCTTTCATGTAAGCATCCTGTCATTAAAGGAAATTTTGATTGTGCTATAAGTCCTGTGTTTTTCAGAATAAAATAAGTTATTAGTTATGCTACTGGTTTAGGATTTACTTGCCTTTATAATGGAACTGTGTTGCTCTTTTCTAGTGTTTTATTTGGAACATTTCTTGTTTGTTTCTTTCTATTTTTTCCTACTTAAATTTTTAAAGCTAAGCATTCCTGGTTTCTTAAATATGTGCTATATTTCTTTATGATAATCCTTACTTGTGTGCATTTGTACAACTTTTGGTTTTCAGTGCTGGAAAATGCACAGTGTGAAATTACTAAGATGTCTTACTGTGATAATCCTATTTCTTCTGCATAGGCATGACAGAGAACTACCTCATTAATACAATTTGTTTTGGAAATCTGAGTTTCCTGAATATTTTTATAATAAAGACTCCTCTCCCCTGAATAATCATGGTCAATGCTCCCTGTACTGATTTTTTGTGAGTTTATTCTTCTGTCACTCATTCCTTTTCTTCTAATTGTGAATGCAGTTATTTCAGGATTCCTTTTGCTGAAGCAATTTTCCATGTTAAAATTGATAATTTGTTTCTATTTCTTCGTAATCAGGCTTTACAGCTGCTTCCTAGCATCTTTTCCACCTTCTGAAATGAACAAAAACAAGTTATCTTGAGGCATTCTCAGTATTTCATGCAGTGCCTTGCTATGTATTTTTAACATGCTTTGGGCAGTTAAAGACCACTGTTCCCACCTGGAAAAGGAGTCTTCCTCTTTACAGTACCACTGTTTCTCAGTGATTGACTTCAAGCTTTACACTTAAATTTGATCATATTGCACTATTATCTTGTATTACATTCAATTTATTACCCACACTGTCAATATAATATCATGCTTTTTTCATTATAAATGGAGAATTTTGTAGATAGAAATCTTCATAATTTATTATTGTACATAAATCTCCAAACTGTTAGGTATTTAAAGCAAGAGTTCTTGTTCAAAAAAATACTAGTTTAAGAAAAATATTGTAGTTTGTGTTGAACTGAAACTCAGTTCCTGGGTAAGAGTGCTATAGAGATCTTAATTGTTTTTGATTTATAGATACTGTTGCTAACCCTCTTAGTGGGCTTGTGTGTGACTATAGCTTTCTTTATGTGAAAACTTCTAGAGAAATGTTTCTTTTGGTGTATTCCACAGAAGTTACAGGAACTTTAACTGCCAATTATGACAGTCTGTTGCTGAGATTGAGCACAATTTCTTTCCACTTTACCAGTCAGGATGAGTCGGAGCTGAAAGGTACTCAGATGCCTGCTGTTTCAAAGGGAGATGTCCAGTTGCTGAGTATTTAGGTGGATAAAGATAAATTAATATACTTCATGCATTCCTTCAAGCTAAATTCATGTTGCTAAAGAAATTGGATCTCTCTCATTCTGTCTTGAAGAAATTGTAGGTATATTCTTGTTTGCTTACAACTGTACCATAAAATACAATATAGCATGATTTCATCTTAGTATTGAGGCATGTGGGGGTTTGTGTGCTTATATGCTTTTTACTGTAGAAGTCCTATAACTTGAAACTTTTTCAGAATCTGTATACAGCTACAGAGGTGGCAACCAAAGAAAAATTATTCTAACAGTAGAACAGAACAGAGATCAACGCTATAGGATGGTGCTGTGGGGAGCAGGGGCTGCCTGGTGCCCTCAACTTCAAAGGAGAAAAGGTAAAATCCTTGAACCTAGAAGTAGCTGTAAAAGGATTTTTGTGATGCTATTAATATCTAAAATGCTCAGCTGGTAACACTTTTCCATTCAACCTTTAATAGTTCCCTTGGAAGGGCAACATATCTGATACCTATTCTAACACGTCTCCTCTGTTCAGAAGCAGTGCCATCAGCAGCATCATTTGAATGCACTCACTTTGTAAGATTGAGAAAGCATGAGTAATTAGAAACTTGAATCTAGATGCAAGATGGTGTCTTGAATCTAGACACAAGACACTGGTGCCTAGTTATGGAACTATAAAAAAAACCTTGTGTTAACTATGTTATCAGTTTTGCTGAGTCTTCTTTATTGTCTGGTTTAGTATGAATTGCTGTTTTCTTTACTTCTGATTTTCATTCTCTGCTTTCCACCTTACTACAGGTGTCAAGCTTTATATCCTAATGGTCTTGCTATCAAGCCTAGCTGTAACTGATGAAAAGCATCTCTTGCAAGAATTACATAGCCTGTGTTTTAGCAGTGACTACTGCCAATTTTTGGTTTATTCCTGGCTTTGTTCTTTTAAAATAAGTGAAACTAGTTTTAAGTAATTTTAATTTGTATTTCTGAGCAACGGATACACATAGGAAATAAATGCCGTATTACTTGAAGTGCTGGATATATCTGCCTAAAAAGCCAGTTTTTGTATAGTGCAAAGTACTTAATCACAGACAAACCATGAACATTTGATCCCAGTAAGATAGCCAAAAAGATAAATTCCCATGAAACTAAAGCATTCACAATGCAACAGCTAAAGTATGAGT